GCATGAGGACCGGTCTGGGTTAGTGAAAGTGTTGGAAGGTGATATGCTTGATATGAAGAATTTGCAGAATCCTTTGTCCTTCTCTTTGGTCATCTACGACTTCCCTTACGGCTTCAATCTTCCGATGTCAGCAGATGACACTCAACCTTTTCCCGAGGACGACATTGTCCATGTCCTGCAGAACGTGAAGGAGGTGTGCACAGGGCCACTCTGGACGGTTGCTGGGTTCTGCTCCGTGGACATGCTCTCTTATATCAGGAATGCCTTTGCCAGGGTTTGCAATGCAGGCCAGGAGGTGGTCACATGGTGCAAGCCGAATGTCATGAATACAGGTGGCCCTCGTCTTGTCAGCGCAACTGAGTTCTGTGTGATTGGTTACTACTGCGTGACTGGTTCACGGGAGGCGGCCCACTACAATTTCGCCTCTACGGATCCTCGCCATAACTACGGTCTTTTTGATGCTGTGATGAAGAAGTACAATCACCCTCTCGACCTTGCAGTCATGTGTCCGTACCAGAAGCCAGTCGCCCTGTACGCTTGGCTGGTAGACAAATTTTCCCCTCCTGGCTCGTACGTCATCGATGGCTTCTCAGGCTCTGGAACTGGGGCAATTGCCTGTGTTCTTCGCAACAGGAATTGCTTAGTTGTCGAGAAAAATGGTCGGTGCGTCGTCAGTATTCGGGCGCGCATTCTCAATGACATTGGACTTACCATCGACAGAGAATGTAGAGAGAGAGACAGATTAGTGCCTCGTGTGTGTGTCTACGCTTTCACTGCTCTCTGCATGCCCATCTGAGAGAGAGTGAGAAACAGAGAGAGGGAGATCTTCGCGGTGAGGGTTTACCTACGGTAGCGCCAGACACTGCAGCTGCAGCGTTGCCAGTAACAGCAGCACTACCAGCAGAAGTAGCATCAGCAGCAGCAGCAAGATTAGGCCTGTTCTTCTTTGTTGTTTGTCGTTTCTTAAGGGTGGCGGAATGACTGAGCAGCGGTCCAATGTTGGCCAGTTCTGCTTTTGGACATAACCCGGACGCCAGCCCCTGAACTGGGACAAGGACCCAAATTTTCTCTGGGTTGTTTAAAGTGAGCTAGTTTTAGGTGGAGGTGGGAACCAGGGCACTCGGTTCCATTTGGGTTTCAGCCGCAGGAGGCAACAGGTAGGTGGTGGGTGGGAGAGTGGCACAATTGACAAGGAATGTGAATTCCAATCAGCCGTTCGTAGGCTGTTTGCGGGCCGAGAGTAGGCCTGTTTTAGAGGGTTTAAGGAGGTTAGGTTAGACCAGTTCGACATTGTGAGCAGCAGCAGCAGCAGMGTGTTACAGCACTAAGCCTGACATTCTTCTTTCGGCACCTCCTTTCTCTGTGGATGTTCTTTGCTTTCTTAGTAGGTGTTAGCGACGTCAAAATCTTGTTTGTGCTTCTGAGTGAGAGACACAGTTTGTGAGGCCCCTCGAGCCCGGGCCTATTTCGGATTTGCTTGGATTTGACTCTTCGTACACAAATTTTGGATTGTGACGTTTGGATTGTTTT